TGATTTATTTGTGGGTTGTTGGAACGAATATTTGCATGACTTTGTGTTTGGATATTTTGAACCCCACCATGAACTAACTTATTTGGTGGTGGTTGGTTTAATAGATGTTTAGACATTATTTTGATGATATATTTGAGTTTATTTTGGTTTTTTATTTGCTTTGCTTATGAATGCTTCACCATCTAGGCTTGTAAGAGGCATGGAAATGTCCATTTCTTAGATGAAGTTTAGGTATTCGGGAGAAACCTAAGCTAGAAATACTTGTAAGTATTCGAGAGAACCGCAAGATAAGATCCTCATAAGCAATGGGTTATAGTATTTCCAAGGGGCTTTGAACCGACCTAGGGATATTACAACCTAATCCCTTAGATCTCGGGAGAGACTAGGATAGGATTTCAATGACTAAAAAGGGTGTTTTTATCAATAGGGTAGGCTGGCCAACATCGTTGAGTGAGAGCAGATGCCTTGGCATCATATTCTATTAGGTTCCTTTGAGAACATTTTAGGAAAGCCCTGTCGAGCAAGTAAAGACTAGATAACTTAGATATACCTAATAAATAAGTTTAGCATCCTTAGATCAATCTCTACCATTCATTCCATTGGAAGCTTGTCACGTGAGGATTATCTTCTTTTCATTTTATTTACTGTTATTTACCATCTTTCATTGCCTCGATATTACATCATTTTCAACACTAAACATCTTATCTTGCCATTACATTTCCATCTGCTACACCATCAGACCATTCATCTACATCCACCTTCATACACATTTTCATTTTGCTGTGATATTTGTATATATAAAGACTAACTATACATAGATAGATTAGTGCTTAGCTTCGGTTAGACTTTCGTAATTTCACCCAATCCCTGTGGAGACGATACTCACTCATCACTGTATTACTTAAGCGATTGTGTATACTTGCACATTATTTGCTTATATTTTATAGTACTCACAACACGCAACAAGTTTTTGATTTTGCTCACGTGACATGGGTGGTTGGCTGAGCACCTGACATCTGTAGTATGGGCAGCATGGGCAGCATGTTCGACATGGTGCAGCATGGCTTGTACAGTGTTAATCCAGGTGGATTTCTCGCTCTTGGTGAAAATGGGGGACAGTTGGCTTCAAAAATATATTCTCGCACTTTGCTCGTTTTCGAAATGTCAGTCCAACTCGGCATTTTCATTTTGCTCAGCGGTCTCCTAATGTCATGGCATTTCCTTTTCTCTTTTCCTTGCTCTCAATTTCTGCACATCATTAGACAAACACCTTCCCCATAAAGCAGCATTGATGACAAAATAAAATGTCGCGACAAAACGAATTCTACCACATGCAAATATATGTTCCTAAATGCATCTACATGGTCTAATGAGATCTTAGACATTCAATAACTTAAGTGAAAAGGTCCCAAAATACGACCTTTTTGCGGAGTTATCAATCCACAAAACGGTTACAGTCTTGACGGGTATGAGAGCAAGTTGCTATGACGTGAGAGCATGGATACTTCAAAGCTTGAAAAAACCCACAGTCACACCACCTTTCTCGTAGATTAACTCTGAACGAGTTAGCTTGAATCCCTTGAAGAGGTCATGACATCTTTGTGACACGAAGTAATTCATTGGTTCTAGAAAAGATTATTACATACATTCCATTTGATGCAACAATTCTTTTTTTAGATCTACAACTAATCTTGGGTGATAGGCATGATTGTTTTGCATATAAGTTTGAGCTTGTCCTCCGAGCTTGGCAAAAAGCGCTCCCAAACGAAAATATGTTTTTTTAACCAATGTCGTTACTGGTAAATGGCGTGTCCCCTTTAAGGTCAAATTGATAGCCTCATCCAAGTTGGTTATCATGTGTCTATATCGATATCTACCATCATATGCATTTGTCCACATTTCTTTGTTGATGAGGCTTATGTAATTGTATCCTTTCTCGTTCTTTCCTCGCAAATCTTGAAGCATGGACTCAAATGTTTAAGGTAATATAGTTTGTATCATGAGCATCAAATATAAAACTTACTGTTAAGTTTCCATAAGAAATGAAAATGATTGAGAAATAAGCTTAGGCATTTTTACATACCCATGCGCACAAGTAATTGGCTCTTATTATTCTTTTTTAACTTTCCATGATAGTTAGCAACAATGTATTGGATACAATACCAATGTTGGACATAGGGTGGTTGCCATATTGGACCCAAAGACTCCATTGATGCTTTGATCCCAGCTCCGCTATCTGAAATGACACAATTTTCTTCTCGTAACAACATATAAGCATAAGTTTTTTAGGAAAACCCCCAAGAAATTGTATCTTCTCATTCAACAAGGGTAAAAGCAACTGGAATAATGTTGTGATTACCATCTTGGACAACTGCCAATAGTAAAACTTGCTTGTATTTTCTATACAATAATGTCACATCAATTTGGACCATAGGCTTGCAGTATTTCACAGCATTAATGCACTGTGGTAAGTCCAAAAAACCTGGTAGAATTGGCATCAATCACGAAGTACTAGATCATTGTGGTATGCATGGCAAGTTTCGAAGTCAACAATTGTCCTAAGATTCATTCTGTGCACTACCCTAAACCAACTTGATAGTTCGTTGTAAAATACATCCCACTCGCCGTGAAGTTTTTTAATAGCATTTTGTTTTTCCTTGCATGCTTTCATGTATGAGATTGTGTATCTATATTGCAACTGTATAGCTGAAATTAGCTCCGCAGTAACTAATATGGGAGCTTGCTTTGAGCATGGGCATGATGGCTTGGCAGATAATGTCAGAGTCCAAGTTGGGATGATCTTGGTTGATCCCTACAGCACATAATGTGTGAGGATTGTTGTATACTGTTAGTTCTTATATATTGTTTTTTCTCATCCTCTTCGATACACGAACCATCTAGTTGCATCAGTTATCACATTGGACACAGTGGTAGACATACTTTTCTGTGGTGAAATGGAAGACTCTAGAATGAACAGAATTACGAATGTTGTAATTCATAATTGTTATCATCGCTTATTCTTTAGAAGGAAACTCCATTCCTTTATATAACTCACCATCATTGACTGATGAGTTAAATCTGTAGTCACTAACATTAGGCATATCCGCAAATTCTGGCCCGTACATTGCACCATAGTCAGCTTCATACATGTGTGCTGGAGGTTCGATGTGTACTGTATTTATGAGAACTTCATCTACATCATCATCATCAGAGTCCATGTTGAACTGTGATGATTTTAGATGAACGAATAGTCCAGTCTCAGCACCATCCGCACCTGGCTCACGAAGAGGTTCTTCTGGTGGAGATGAGGGTTCATCCACGATGTTGACATTTAAGTCGAACAAGCTGGTAGTTAAATGTCTTCCTCTTGAACTTGAAGGCATCTCGACATTGAGGTCGAAGAAGCTCGCAGTTGAATACCTCCCCTGGAACTTGAAGGCATCGTGTCAAATAGGTACTGCACAGATTGTTGCGTTGAGGGCATCTCCATATTCAGGTCAAAGAAATTGGTAGATGAATGTCTTCCCCTTAAACTGGAAGCGATGTTGCCATATAGATTGTTTGTGGAGCCACCTTGGTACAGATCGTAAGAAGTTGTTGATGAATGACTCCTTATTGAACTTGATGGGATGACACCATGATGCGGATTTTTTATTAATGAATTAAAGTCATTACATATTACTTGAGTTAGGTTGTCAACTTGATCAGCTTACTAAGCCAACCCATAGTAAGAGCAAAATGACATACCACGAACCACAGACACTTCAACAAATATCGCATACATCTGTGTATCGGTGTCTGAATATTGATTATGAGAATCAACCATCATAGCAACATCGTCATCGTTAGAGAATTCGAACGTTGTATAAGTTAACGAAAATATTGCGGTTGAAAATTTGTATTAAAGTGAGGACAATCATCTAGTACTTCCAACATGAACATTCCTTGAAATTTTAGTGATCAGCTCCTCAAGAATGATGTTTCTCTTAAAGAATATTCTGTCCCAGAATGATTTGATGCGATGAAACGTCGGTTTCATCTTCCCAAATTTCTCCATCGTAGTAAACAATAGCTGAAATATGTGTCATTTTGAGACTTTGAACGATCGAGTCTTATATTTAAAATAGTCCAATTAAATAAATAATATATGAATTAAAATATAAACTAATCCAAAAAAAATTAAAAAATTTCACAATAATTTAAATAACACAATTTCATATTGATACCGTATCGGTAAAATGTCTCGAGGTATGATTATGCTTTTCAATTTGACAACCACAAAAATAATATAAAATAATTAATACAATAAATTTTGTTTAAATAATTAAATATAAAATAAATATAATATAATATAATCAAAAATAATTTTACCTTATAAAAACAATAACAAAATGTACTTAGCTTGATAGAAAGGAATTGATAAAAGTGAGATTAAGCAAGTAATTTTGGTGTGGTTATATTTGCATTCAGAGTGATTATTTATAAAAGGGGAGCAATTAAAATCCGAGTTTTCAGGCTCAGGTAATAATAGAGTACCAATAATTCAACGTGCATAATGAAAGGCGCAAATCATGATCTGCGCCTTTCATGCGTGTCAAAACCCCGCGCCATCCGCGCCTTCCCCTTACATGACACCAGCTCGGACAGAACTCGCGAAGACACAGATAACGATCTGTGCTTTATTGCTACCGATTCAAATCTTGTCCTTTTGACAGAAAGTTACAACAGTAGTGAGTCAGTGATGTGACATCATGTATACTCTTATATATGTACTAGTGATCATGTACAAGTCACCATTTTATTATCATTCACATACATGCATATATAAATGGAGGCTTCATATGATATATACGGGTACAATCAAGATTTTGTGGGGGGCGTATGTCAGTTATCCTAAATTTTAGAGGTTTAATTAACAATTTTAAAAGTTTTGTTAATAAGAATTTTTTTTAAAAAGACAAATCATAAAGGACATTAATGTAAGTATACATGTTTACTGCTCCTAGCTTGAAGTTTGAAGGCAGCCAAGGCCACAGAATGAACTGTCATGGCTGCTGTTTTATGGTTTTGGCTCGGCCTGTGCTTGTGCCGGCCGAGGCCGAGCAAGTCCAGGGATCTGCAGAACATATACATTCTAATTCAGCTATAAATAATTAAAAATAATATATAGAAAGAGATTTTGTGAACCATCCAAATCGATCAAGAACTATAAATGGTTAAAGACGGCTTAAAGTACAATTAGAGAACCTTCGCCCCAAACGATATATATTTGGAAATAAAATACAAACCTCGACTCCATGAGGACCAATGCGGTTGCGAGATATAAAATTGAGTATCAATGTAGCAAATTCATCAGGTACATCCTCCTACCAATTTATTATTCAAAAGTTTCAATTAAATATAAACAAATATGCTGAAAAGAACATCTGCGGAAATAAATCGATGCGAACCTGTATAGCATGCCCAGTATGTCTGACAACCACCATTTGAAACTTGCCTTGCATTTGACCTATTGTGAGTGCTCTATTACACAAAGTACAAAAAAAGGGAAACCAAAAGTTAACAAATTGTTGAACAATTGTAAAGAAAAATAATTGTAAATTTCTTGATCCTTGCCAATTCCATATTCTACATCCTTAAGAATCCATCACTTCAGTTACAATGGCATCTTCCACTGAAATGCCAAAGGACAAGAAAATTTTTATTCAATAATAATATCAAATCCCTCCGGCTCTAAGGGTGTCGGATACAGGTATGTTCAAAATTTTATTTTCAAACTTATGATAGTTGGAGGACCAAGCCTAAATATTCATGTCCAGTGGATATGACTCGAACAGAAGTGTACTATGCAAAATGAAGATTTGGACCAACATGAACCATTTTACCTCAAATATCGAAAATGATATAACAGTAGAAACCACTAGAAGTGCTGATCTATTTATGTTATTTGACAATAAAATATGTATCTAGAGGAAAACATCAAAGGTTTGTAAAATTAAATCGGTGTAGTATTAAAAATCCAATGAGGCTACCTGTCCAGTCTATCAGTGCCGGCTAATAGTAAGAGCTTTGGAACTGGAGAAGATAGAAATTTTTCTGAAAGGCCTTCATACCTGCAAGACAGTAGTTAAAAAAGACAGCAAAAAAACAGCACTATAAGAGTCGTGATCATCACATGAAAGAACTTAGCATCGGATGTTTAAAAACATGAAAGAATGAGTTATTAAGGTTGGCTGACATTATTCTGTAATAAGGAACTGTCTTTCTTTTATGAACCTTGGTAACGTTTAAGTTTGAACCAACTGATCCAACAAGCAAAAGTCGGATTTTTTCTCCCTTTCCTTTTCCTCTATCCTCACTCTTTAGAAAGATAGACGTAACAGTACTCCCCATGGGAATTATTTACAGATGATATATTCCTACTTTGATATGCTGCTAGGTTAGCTATATGTGTATAAATACATACATAAACTCATATACCAGGAAAACAAAATGCACAAGAAAAAAAAATAATAAAATCCTCTTAGGTTACATCAAAATAGTTGTTCAGGGAATAGTTGTGTAGCACACCTGAACGAAGACTCATCTATGAAAGTTGTGTATGATGTAAAGTTGTAAACCCTCTTTCCGCAACAATTTCAAAAGGTTTTTTCTATGATCATTATTTCACATTAATGCACAGGCAAGGCACTTATTATATTACTTTCCACCATTATTTTTCTATATTCTTATGAGTTCATTTTCTTGTAGCATGGAAGCAAAACAGAAAAACCTACAAATATCTTATTTACAAGTTCCAAGAAATTTTTGCATTTGGTTTCACCATAATTAAGATAATTCTGTAAATAATTTCAACAGGAGTCTCCAAGCCACAGTTCACAATGTTGTTCTTCGGAACCCCAACCAGCATATTTACGCTCATCATTAGAGTTGGTAAATGATCTCAACTAAATCAACTCCAACCTACCCAGAACCCGAATTAGCAGAAAAATTCAGGATCTGAGATAATTTGAATCCAAACCTGGACAGTACTATCCTATTGCAGAATAAAAGTGGCAAAATTTGATTCTAACCCCGAATGCCCAGCCAACTCATCCGACCATAGACTAAAGCAATTACTGAAACATACCAGAGAAGATAAAAAAATACATAACCTCAAATGATGCAAAGGTACAAAATATGAAATGATCTAAACAGGAAGAACCTAGACAAAACCGCCAAAAAGTGAACTTTTCTTGACAAGCAAAATTTTAACCGCTGATGGTAGACTGCCAAAATTTAAAAATAGTTATTACAATACAGAACAAGAAATGGTTCAGAACTAAGTTGTGAACAAATTATCATAGAAAAGGTTAGGATTTGGAAGGACAAAAAAATTTGATTGATAGTTTGATACATTGTGTAAGCTTCTAAAATACCCTTAGACTAAATCATACGAGTAAAAGAAAGAAAAGTACCAATCTTCAACTCTTCATCACAGGAAAACAAACAGGAAACTAAGCGTGTTCATATGAACATGTAAAGGATCAGTTCTCAGGCACACAATAAGTGGTAATGGTGGCAACTCATAAGAAGCCTGGAAAAATAAGACAGGACGCTTCATGCTCTACAACAACCCTAGACAAAGAAGAAAAGAGGAAAACTCTGCAAGCTATTTGCATGCTTTAACCATAAGCATAATTTCAAATCACTTGAAGTAGCTTCAACAAAATATATGCATACAAAAACTGATAACTCTTAAATAATGGGAAAATATAAATATTGAACAAACAAACCTGGCAAAATTACATTCCTGGAAGCAGTACTAAAATTTATCAACCACAAAATTGTACACAAGCAGGTATGTGAAGCACTGATTAGTAGCCAAGTCATTTACACTTTGCTTTGTACGGAGGATGGAAAATTTGTTAATTTAGTGGTTAAGTGACGGTAGGAAAGTGGTTAGGCATTTTAACCATCAGATTAAGAAGTTCTGTACCCTTACCACTTCCCATCCTTCCTAACAAGCAAAGCCTTACAATGATGGCTAAGGTTTCGGACCTTTCAGTTCAAATATACACAATGTCGTTAGACCTCATCAGTAGTAAACAACATAAAAATGTTAACAGCAAAACTTCACTCAACAGCCTCTCCAATATTGTTCAGTCTCTTCCAACCGTGCTCTGTGGACATAACTATGGGAAAAAGTAAAATTGTTTCTATTGGTATTGGAAATGTAACATTATATAGTTAACATGACAGAAATACTTACCATTTCTTTGAATCATCATACTTTAAAGTGGTTGGAATGGATACACGAGCAGAGTCAATATTTCTTAGAGAACCTCCTCTAATACTCCATTCAATCTGCATGCTAATTTGGCATTAGAACAATAATTTGAACAAGCTTGCATGAAGAAAATACAATTCAACTAAGTGCTCACTTTATGTGAGCTTGGCCCAGTCTGTTCGTATAGCAAGCAGTGCATTTTCTCTGTATTCTTTTTTTTTATAAGAGTTGAAGGCCTCATTAAAAAACCCCTTCATGATCAATGGATCTTTTTAGAAAAGTTCCTTGATCAGCGAAGGGGGAAAAGTTCCAAGCTATAAGAAAAGATTTTGCATTAGCATGAAAAACAGAACTAAGCTTCCAAAATTTCATAAACTTATTCCATAAGGACCACACTACCGAACAAGTAAAAAATAAATGCGAAGAAGACTCCTCAACCACCTTACACACAGGACATAAACCATCCTCAATGCCTTGAACCCCTCTTTTTATCAGTTCTTTCTTAACAGCCAACCTCTGAAGAACAATTTGCCACACTAAAGTTTCTGCTCTAGGGGGGTACCAAACCCCTCCAAACAATATTCTTCCAGAACTGAGCTTCTTCTGAACCTGTTTTACACCTTTTAAAGCAAGAGCTGACTGTAAAAATACCATCCCCACTACCTTTCCAAATCAATCCATCACTTTGACATAATGCTCATCAAATTACACCATTGTTCAAGCTCCCAATCATTTAAGTTCCTTCTCACTTTGACATCCCAAATCCAGCCCAAAGTATGAAAATCACCAAACTCACATAACTTACCTGTTTTATTAGTAGAAATCAAAAACAATCTGGGGAAGAGAACCTGGAGCGAACAATCCGCAACCCAACTATCTTGCCAAAAATGAATTAACTTACCATCACAAACATGAAAACTGCACAAATTTCGAAAGTTGGAACCGAAGTCATCTTTGAAATGGTTGTTAACCACTGTTTTCCAAAGCCAATAAGCTTGAGGTGAAATCTTTCTATCAAACAATAAGACTGATGAATCAATGTTGTACTTGCTACAAATGAAATTCCTCCACACAGAACCTCTCTCATTTGCAAACCTCCAAGACCATTTCCCTAGTAGTGCTCTATTCATGCTCGTAAGATTTCGAATTCCCAAACCTCCCTCATTCTTTGATTTACACATTTCTGCCCATTTAACCCAGTGAATCTTTTTAATACCATTACTACCTCCCCATAAAAATTAGGCATAACTGAATTGAGAGACTTGAGAATTGATGCTAGAATTTTAAACATTGACAGAAAAAAAGTGGGCAGTGAGCTTAGGACAGATTTTACCAAAACATATCTCCCTGCTAATGATAGATTATAAGCCTTCCACCCTGCAAGTTTTGATTGAAAATTCTGGACCACCAGATTCCAAATAAGAGAAGAATTTCTAGAAGCACCTAGTGGAAGGCCTAAATAATTAGAAGGAAAACTTCCTACTGCACAGCCTATCGAATCTGCCCAACTTTGAACCTCTTCTTAAGATGTGTTAATTACGAACAATTTGGTTTTCTTGAGATTTAATTGAAGGCCTGACATAACCTCAAATACTCTAAGAACTCTCTTAACATTCAAAATCTGTGTCTTCGAAGCTCCACAAAAAATAATTAGATCATCGACAAACTGTAAGTGAGTTAAGTTAAAGGACCCTTCCTCCTTGCCAATTACCATCCCAGAAAATAATCCCTCCGAAACTGCCCTGAGAATTAATAAGTTCAGCAGTTCCCCTACTAAATTAAATAATAATGGTGATAGAGAACAACCCTGTCGAAGACCCTTTGCTAGTGGGAACTCCTCCGATGGAACCCCATTGACTAGCACCGAAACTGAAGCTGTAGTAACACACCTCCTGATCCAACTGATCCAAGTAGAGCCGAAACCCATATTTTCCATCACATTGAACAGAATAGTAACAAAGCTTCGGGACCGGACGGATTGAATTTTGGTTTCTTCAAAAGGTTTTGGCTTGTGCTAAAGGATAACATTATGGATTTTTTTCACAAATTCTCTTTGGGGAAAGAATGGGATCATGGTATTAACCATACCTTTACACCCTATTCTAAAGGGACTAATGGGTGCCTTGATGATTTTAGACCCATAAGCTTAGTGGGAGGAGTTTACAAAATTTTAACCAAGTGTCTTTCAAGGAGGCTTAGAAGTTGTATAGGAGATATCATAAGCTCGACTCATTTTTCATACCCGGTTGACAGATTTTGGATTGTTCTCTAATTGCAAATGAGGGTATAGATTATTGGAGAAAGAAAGGGCTAAAGGGTTGTGTATTTAAAGTTGATTTCAAAAAGGCTTACGATACTGTTGATTAGCCTATTTTGAAAAAATAGGATTCAGCTCTACTTGGATTAGTTTCGACAGATTTTGGATTGTTCTCTAATTGCAAATGAGGGTATAGATTATTGGAGAAAGAAAGGGCTAAAGGGTTGTGTATTTAAAGTTGATTTCAAAAAGGCTTACGATACTGTTGATTAGCCTATTTTGTTCAAGGTAATGGAAAAAATAGGATTCAGCTCTACTTGGATTAGTTGGATTAGGAGGTGTGTTACTAGCTTCGATTTCGATGTTGGTTAATGGGGTTCCAACGGAGGAGTTTCCAATGGCAAAGGGGCTAAGACAGGGTTGTTCTCTCTCTCCCTTATTATTTAATCTAGTAGGGGAATTGTTGAATTTACTAATCCTAAGGGCGTTGCAGAGGGATTATTTTCTGGTTTGAAAGTTGGTAAGGAGGAAGGGTCTTTTAATCTTACACACTTACAATTTGCGGATGATTTAATCATTTTTTGTGGGGCTTCGAAGATGCAGATTATGAATGTGAAAAGAGTGCTTAGAGTGTTTGAGGTTATGTCAGGGTTACAGCTAAATCTCAAGAAGAGCAGACTGTTTGGAGTAAATATATCTCTAGAGGAGGTTCAAACTTGGGCAGATTCCATTGGCTGTGCGGTGGGTAGTTTTCCCTCTAATTATCTAGGCTTGCCTCTAGGTGCAACAAAGAATTCCTCAGTTATTTGGGAACCGGTGGTGCAAAATTTTCATTCAAAATTAGCAGGTTGGAAGGCAGCGACTTTATCACTATCTTGAAGAATGGTTTTGATTAAATCTGTCTTATGCTCACCGCCCACATATTTTATGTCAATGTTTAAGATTCCAGCTTCAATCCTTAAGGCCCTCAATTCTATTATGTCTAATTTTCTATGGGGAGGTGGCAATGGTAAGAAGAAAATTCAATGGGTTAAATGGGCTGAAGTGTGTAAACCTAAGAATGAGGGAGGGTTGGGAGTACGTAATTTGAATTTCATGAACAGAGCTTTACTAGGGAAATGGTCCTGGAGATTTGCAAACGAGAGGAATTCTGTTTGGAGGAGATTTATTTGTTCTAAATACAGTTTTGATTCCTCTAGGTTATTGTTTGACAGTAAACTCCTAGCTTGTACTTCTTGGCAGTCGAGATCAGTGGTTAATAATTATATCAAGCAAGATCCATTTGGTTCTAATTTTCGTTCCTTATGTATCTTTCAAGTTGGCAATGGAAGGCACATTCAATTTTGGCAGGACGTTTGGGCAACAGATTATCCGTTACAGGTCCTTTTTCCAAGATTGTTCTTGATTGCTACTAATAAATCAAGAAAACTATGTGAGTTTGGAGATTTTCATCCATCGGTCTGGATTTGGGATGTTCAAGTTAGAAGAAATTTAAAGGATTGGGAGATAGAACAATGGTGTAACTTGATGAGTACTATTTCTTTTGTTTCTTTGTCTAAAGAATCCAGTGATGCCTTGATTTGGAAAGACAGTGGGGATGGTATGTTTTCAGTCAGTTCTTGTGTTAAGAAGTGTGTTACTGGTTCTGAAGAGGTTCAATTCTGGATGAAGGTTTTTTGGAGAGGATTACTACCACCAAGAGTTGAAACATTATTGTGGCAAATTGTGCAGCAAAAGCTTGTTGTTAAAACAGAATTGGTAAGAAGAGGAGTTCAAGGAATTGATGATGTTTTATGTCCTCTTTGTAAACAGTTTGAAGAGTCTTCCTCACATTTATTCTTTTCTTGTTCGGTTGTGTGGGCATTATGGAATAAATTTTTAAAATTGTGGAGTTTTAGTTATGTTCTTCATGAAGATGCTAAAACTTTTCTATTAGGTTGGGAAGAGTTGAAGCCAAATTCTGCTATATGGTCATTCATTCCTGGGGTTGTTATTTGGACCATTTGGAAAACCAGAAATTTTATTGTTTTTGAAGGGGGAAAGTTGGATCAGATTGAATTATTCTTTTTAGCAAGAGTCGAGCTTGCATCTTGGTTCCTAGCTAAGTATAAGGATATCTCTATTCCTAAAAACTCGTTAATTTCAAAACCTTCATTAGGGGATTTTCATTCGTCCTACAACTTCCTGAAGTCTTCTATTATTCCCTGGTGTACTCCTCCTATAGGCTTCATTAAACTGAATGTGGATGCTGCCACTAGTAGTGATTGGAAGAAAAGTGGATTGGGAGGCATTTTAAGGGATCATCTTGGTGCAATATTAGGAACTTTTCAGGAGTCAGAGGGTCCGAGTCCTCCAACTTTGAAAGAACTCAAGGCTATTCAAAGGGGACTTGTTTTCGTCTCATCTATCCAAGGGAGGGAAAAATTTCGATTGATTGTAGAGAGTGACAGTAGGGTTGCAGTGGACTGGATTATTAAAGTTGATTCTTGTCCAGCTGTGTATGCTTTTATTGTAAAAGATATAGTTGTAAAACTTAGGTTTTGTGGGGGAATTGTTAGATGGATATGGAAGTTGATGCCTTAGCAAAGGCTGGTATAGGCTGAATTTTATGTATTTTGATTTTTCGAGTGGCTACTTGTAAGGGTTATTGGGTTTTCTTTCTCTAGGTTGTAATTCCTACTTTATTTAATAAAGTTCTAAGGCACTCTTTTCCATTTTCTGCTGATTAAGGAGTTTACACATAAACTCCATTAATCAAGAAGGTGGTTTTTAATGAGGCTTTCAAATCTTATAAAAAAAAGTATCATAGGCCTTCTTAAA